ATCGTTTTCTTCCATTTCTCTTTTTCCATGGCTTCAGTTATTGCCATGTTCCATGTTCTTCTCATCTCATAATTTATTTAATTTAATATCTCTTTTTATTTTTCGACTTTACTTCATTACAAGGTTAGATAGCTCATACTATATTAGACGCCCCCACAGCCCATCAACGCACCTCGCTTCCAGCAATACCACCTGTAGTGAAGTAACTGATCGATTATAAACAATATATTCACAATTACTGGTTGAGACATCGATCTCCTCTTCTAAAATCTTATTTAAACCTTCTAACTAAAATTGTGAGACAACTTTTGGCGTCCATCCATGCGCAAAAGATTCATCTTCAAACTCAAACGGCAAACCCATACTTGTACACCGTGGAACATAACCCGTCGTCTTTTGCGCAAACTTACCAATATACTCAACCTCGTTACTCCAACGGGAGAAGCATCGTCTCCTTCCGAAAAATGCGATGTGCTGGGTAATTATTCTGCTTCAACCTCTACGTCTAACTTCTCAAAACTGGCACCACGATAATTATATTCAAGAAGTAATTGCACGATCAGAAATAACAGTTCCTGAATGCCCTAAATTTATTTAACCATCAGAAATCAACATGTAACTCACTACCAACCCCCAAATTATCAAATGGCCATGACCTAATATCAACTTTTTTATTAAAACGGCTTCCCATGAAAGGCATCGTACATACTACAGCAATATTTACTGCCGCTTTTAGAAAAATTCCCTGATAAATGGAATCACGCCAAAAGTGGGGGTGGTAGCTTGACGTCAAGCTAGCACCCCCACTTCTCATAAATTCAAAATCAACTACCCTAACATTATATACTAATTATGTACTAACTTTGTGCGAAAATAAAAAAAACAAAAGTACTCAACAATGAGCAATTGAAAACCAGGAACCAACGAAGTACTTTGCACGTATATTTTCCTATTTTTTAAAACACATTTTGAGTTAATTTTAAAGTTGAATTTAATAATGCAGTTTAACAACACAAAGTTTTTCATGTAATAATTTCAAAATTTTATCTGGTCCCTCAACAGAGATATTACAGTCTACAAACATGAGAAATTACGAGCGGTTGACAACAAAAACGTCAACCGTCGCACCCCTTCGCAGAAATTCAAAATCAGCTCGTCTATATTCTTCTGCTAGATACGTACTAATTATCTAACAAAATAAATACTTTTGTACTCAACTATAAAAATTAAAAACGACTGCCAATAAAGCATTTTGCACATAAGTTTCCGATATTTTTAAAACACATTTGGATTCAAATATCAAAGTTAAAATTAATAATGCAGTTTAGAACCATTGTGAACTTTTACATGTATTAATTTCAAAATTTAATCTCGACCTACATCAGGGTTATTAATTTCTACAATTCGGAAATACTGGGAGCGGCTCTAAACAACAGTGTCCGCCACTGCATTCCCCTTCTCAGATATTCCAATTTAACTAGCCATAATATACTAATAATGTATTAATTTGTAACAATAAATAATTTTGTACTCGACTATAAACAATTAGAAAACGGGTGTCATTGAAAATATTTTCACATAAATTCACGATTTTTTAAAACACATTTTGAGTCAAATTTCGAAGTTGAAATTAATAAAGCAGTGAACTTTTACATGTATTAATTTTAATTTTTTTTCTGTTCCCTCATCATGGTTTTAATCTCTACAAATCCGAAATATTGGGACCTGCTCTATACAAATGTGTACTCCACCGGAACTCCATTCTCAGAGATTCAAATTTAACTAGCCTATAATATTCTAACTTTGTTATTATTTTGTAACAAAATAAATATTGTACTAGGCTATAAACATTTGAAAAGCGGGGGCCTATGAAGTACATTCAGTCTAGATTCGCGAATTTTTAAGCCTGTTTTGAATCAAATTTCGGAATTAAAATTTATAATGCTGTTCAACATTACTATTAACTTTTATATGTAATAATTTCGATATTTTAAATTGTCCCTCAACAGTGTTATTACATTCTACAAACGCGAAAAATTAGGAGCGCCTCCATACAAAAGTGTCCGCCACCACACCCTTCTTCTCAGAAATTCTAATTTAATTAGCCTTTCATCTTTTTTTAATTATGTACTAATTTTGTAACAAAATAAATGAAGTTGCACTCAACTGCAATCAATTAGAAAACGCGTGCCAAAGCGCTTTCCGCGTAAATTTACCAATTATTAATACCAATTTTGAATCAAATTTTGAAGTTGAAACTTATAATGCAGTTTCACCAGAATTAATTTTAACATGTAATACTTTTTGAATTTTATCTGGTCCATCAACAGTGTTATTATACTCTACACACCCGAAAAATTGCTAGCTGCTCCATACAAAAGTTTCCGCCATCGCATCCTTAGTTAAAATTTATTACGCAGTTTAACATCATAGTGAACTTTTACAGGTAATAATTTCAAACTTTTATCTTGTCCCCCACAGTGTATTACACTCTACAAACCCGAAAAATTGAGAGCGGCTCCAAACAGGGGTATCCGTCGCGTACGCCCGTTCTTTGAAATTCAAATTCAATTAGCCTTTTTTATTCTACTACTTATATACTAATTTTGTGACAAAACAAATAATTTTTTTCTCAACTGTAAACAAATACAAAACAGGTACAAATAACGAACTTTTCGTGAAAATTTGCTATTTTTTAAACACAATTTGAGTATAATTGGGAAATTGTAATGTATTAAGCAGTTTGGTATTATAGTGAACTTTTTAATGTTATATTTTGAAAATTTTATCTGGTCGCATAACGAAGATTACAGTCTACAAAAATGAAATGTTTAAGCAGCTTCAAAGTGTCGGCTATGGCACCCCCTTCTCAGATAATTAAAATCAACTAGTTGATAATCTCTTATTAATTATGTTGTACTTTGTTACAAAACAAGAAAAAATGCACCCAACTTTACTATTACAAAAACATGACAATGAAGCAATTTCTCTTAAATTTCCAGTTTTTAAAATTCTATTTTCAGTCAAATCCCGAAGTTGACATTTATACTGCAGTTTGGTACTATACTGGTGTTTTACGTATAATACAAGTAAAATGAAACGATAGTTACACAAATATTATACACTCGTGATGCACATAATTTAACACGTTATTTGTAACTTTTGCAAATTTTGACCACTGAAGGCGTGTAACTAAAATTGAACATGCTACTATTTTATAAGCCTTGTGATCTGTAAAAGAAAGATAATTAAAGAAAATATTACTGTCCGTTATTGAGAAAATATTTCCTTTCATTGCCATTATTGAAACTAAAGTTACGCAAAATTTATTCATTTTTCAAAAATATTGTTTAGGCCTTTGTTAATGATCGGCCTTTGGAAAAATATCTTAATAAACAAATCTGTGTTATTGAAGTGTATAGTTAAAGGAAAAGAACGAAAAAAAATAATGTCTGCATTATTGAAAATTAATTGCTCAACGAAATATATACTGAGATATTATTAGCCGTTCTTTCCTCTATTCGTAAAAGAATGCAAACATTTGGAGCCAGTTTTCAGTAGTGTTTGAAACTTTTTTGAGGATTAATATAATGTACAACAAAAAATCAAAATATTCTTTTCAAATTCGCAGATTCTTTATTTCGGTCACATCAATTGAGGAATATTAATTTTGGAGAAGTTTTACTTTCTAATTTTCATATGCTAATGACTGTTACGACGGCATAACTGTCTGTGTCGGCATAATAACTTTTCATAAATAACAACGCATACATATTATTTTGAAGTAATAAATGAATACTTTTCCAATATTATTAATTTTATTTTGCCCTTCCTCCTTGCTTGAATGAGGGCTTGGTGGAATAACCCTCAATCCACTACGAGAACCTTTAATTAATAAACTGTCACAGTGATAAATTTCATTTTGGGGAAATAAATTAGTACGTGCGTACTCTGTTCTCCGAGTGTACTGTAGTATTAAGTAGTACTGACATAATTCACAGACGGTGGCTAGGGCTCATTTGAGGAGAGTACAGACGGATTGCTGTTTGCTACTCGCGTGAGTTACTCGTACATATTCCGTTATTCACTTCAAACACACCCAGCCGGCACGAGTACGCGTTACCGTCCACACGGCTTTGTAATCTCACAAATATTTATGATCTGTTATTCTTCATTTTGTGCTGACCAACATCTACGGACGAGGCTCTCCTTCCTATTCGAACGCGGGCGGCTCTTTTATGACACTACCTGGAACGTTCCCCCAAGCTCTCTCACGCGGAAGCGTCGCTGCGGTCCAAAGACTCCTAGTGTCACTGCATTACTGTATAAAGTGGGAAAAGTATGTAAAATATCCATATAAATAATCCAGATACTTTCTTAAGTGTTACATTGGAACTCCATGCTTATATTTTATACTAATAATAGTTGAAAAGGAATAAGTCTTTTAATAAACGGGACTTTTTTATGATTATAGTATGCCTCCATAAATTACTCTTTGTTATGTAAATTTGAATATATCATGTATTGTAAAGGTGTTTTAAAAGTCTTTTGGGAATTAATATGTTAGTAATCTAGCTTGAGAGTATGACGTGAAACACACAGTTTAAAAAATGAATAGCTACCTCATATACACATCCCCGCTGTAAAAGGTACTATAGTTTCAGTGAATTTGAAGTGAAGGAACTTCTAATGTTAACATTCGGATCCTCATAAAGTACAGTAAATAAAGGATACAATAAATCAAATGCAATCGTAACGTCTCTTGAATCAAAATAGTTTGTAAATTATTATGAACATATGTGTTTGTATATTAATATGCACATT